GGCGGCGCGGCCGGCAGCGCTGCCCCGGGCCAAGATGGCGGCGGGAGGCACTGCCCATGCGCGGCCGCCGCGGTGCACGCCGGGAGTTGTAGTCCCCGCCCCTTGGGGGTGGCTCTGCTTCCCCTCATGGAGGGCGGCGAGGCCGCGACGACGCGAAGGCAGAGTACGGCGGCAGCGGGCGCGGAGGCGGCGGGCGGGAGAGAGCTTTTATTGAGGCATAGGGGCGCAAAGGGGAACCGGTATGCCGTGGTGTGCTACCTCAGGGGGCAGAAGGGGGCTGCGGGGTGAGCTTGGGGGGCTGTGGGCCTGGCTCTGGGGGGCTGTAGGCCTGGCTTGAGGGGCTGTAGGCCTGGCCTGAAGGGTCTACAGCCTTGCCTGGAGGTCTACAGGCCTGGTCTGAGGGGCTGCAGGCCTGGCCTGGGGGTCTGCAGGCCTGTCCGGGGGCTGCAGGTTTGGCTAGGGAGGCTGCAGGCCTGCCCAGGGGGTCTGCAGGCCTGCTTTGGGGGGCTGCAAGCCTGGTCTGAGAGGAGCCTGTGGAGGTTTGGGCCTGCTTGGGGAGTTTGGGCAGGTCCAGGGAGGGCTTTGGACCCCCCCTCAGGTTTGGGGGGGGGGCAATACAGCAGTGGAGCAGGACAGGCTGTCTCTAACTCAGCTGGTCCCCGTCATCTCTTGGCAGCTCGTCCCCGCTGGTGGCCTCCGCCGGGTGCTCGTCGTTATCATCCTTGCCACCGTCATCGCCCTCCGAGCCGGTCTCATCCGAGTCGTCCTCCTCCAAGTAGCGGTAGCCACGCATTTTGTGGCGCGGGCGAGGGATGCGGGGCAGGCGGTATGCCACGTGCTGCGCCAGCTTGTGCTCCATCCAGACGTAGGCTCCCACCGCCACCGCCAGCGACAGCAGCATGATGGCGAGCTTGGCCTGCGGGAGGTGATGGCCCCGGAGGTGACGGAGGCAGCTGGGGGACGCTGCGGTGACGGCTGCCCTCCCCCCCCCCCCCCGCCACACTTACCTTCATGGGCAGCCCCGACCACAGGTAGACGGTGAAGATCGCCAGGGCTTGCCACCAGTGGTAGATGGTGAAGACGAAGTCTTGGCGCTCCTTGTCTTCGTACAGCATGCCCAGGAGGACTGCGCCAGAGGGGACCGGCTGTCAGCATCCCCCTCCTGTGCCACTGTCCCCTCTCAGGGCACTGTTAGCAGGACCCGGCCGCAGTAGGTCTGTCCTGCTCCTTGTCTGTGGGTCCAAGGAGCTGGGGACCACCAGGCTGCGGTGCCAGGGGACACGAGGAGAGGAGGCATCGGGGAGCTGGGGACAATCTGGCTGTGCCAGGGGACAAGAGACGCTGTGTTGGGGACATTCCCGGTACTCACTGCTAATGCCGGTCTTGTTGAGGGCGCTCCCCGTGCCCCAGAGCACGGCTATGGCGTAGAGCAGAGGTGCCTGGACCAGGTGCCGGGGCTCGGGTGCCCAGCAGAAGAGAGTCACCAGGAGGGCGGCGTGGACGAGGGCTCCGGCCAGCAGCGGGATCTGCCGCCGCAGGCGTAACGTGCAGAGGGCCAGGCTGGAGCAGGCCGAGGCGGAGAAGCCGTAGGCCATGAGGAGGTACGCCAGCTTCTCCAGCCCCAGGGCACACACGCCGTAGTTCTGCAGTGAGGACAGGCTCAGCGTCGCCCGGCCGGGGCTGTCCCCGCTCTGTCACCCCCTGCCACATCCCTGCGCCCTACCAGGGAGAAGCCGGTGCAGACGAAGAGCACCTCGAAGCCGCTGTAGATGAAGAAAGGGAAGAGGTGGCGCAAGCGGTAGTCCCGCATGTGCTTGAAGGGCAGCTGGAAGATGTTTCCCCAGCCGATGCTGCGCAGGTCGATCTCCTCCGTGGGCCGATACGCTGAGCCGCAGAGCACCAGGACCTGCCGTGTGGCCGTGGGTGAGGCGCTGCCGGTGTCCCGGCCCGTCCCGGCCCCTGCCCGCCCCGGTGCTCACCACCAGCATGGCGAGGAAGGCGGCCGCCATCAGGACGCTCTCCACGATGATGAGGTTGACGCTGCGGGGCAGGCTCTGCAGCACCGTCTTGTTGAAGCCGGGCAGCGTGCCGTGGCTCAGGGTCCCTGCCGGAGGGGCACACGCCACGGCTCAGCCCCAACCGGGGAGGTCCCTGTGCCGCCGTGCCATCCCACGCCACCGTGCTGGCCCACGCGCTCACCGCAGTGCTTGACTCCGTAGAGCGTGTGGTTGAGCTGGTAGAGGTAGTTGTTGAGGAAGAAGAGCATGGGCATCTGAGCGCAGACGAAGCTCAGCTGCAAGACGTATAGCAAGGGGAGCTCAGCGCCGGGCTGCCCGGCACGGCCCCCTGCCCGTGCTGCGCGTCCCGCCGGCACTCACGTGGAAGCAGACGTAGAAGACAGTCTGGAAGACGACGACGTAGGCATTGCAGGCGCCCCGCGGCGCTCGCTGCTGCTCCTGCACGTGCTCCTCCTTGTAGTTGACGTACTCGTAGTACTTCTGGGCCATCCTGCGCGGCACGGCCGGTCAGCTGGCGCCCCCCGGCCACCCCCGTCCGCCCCCCGCCACTGCCTACCGCGTGATGTAGTTGCCCATGGATGCCCAGAGGGGCACGATGGCCACCCCGATGGCCACGGCGGAAGGCACCAGCGTGTAGTAGCGCTCCCAGTAGTTACTGGAGACGAAGAGGGCGTAGATCCCCACCGCCAGGAACATGGCCCACTTGGTGCCGAAAAACCTGCCGGGGCGAGGAGGAGGAAACATGGGCGCCCGTGCCGGCATGCCGGCGTGGAGCGCGGGCAACGCCGTACCTGATGAGGACAGGTGTGTAGAGGAGCGCCGCGACGGGGGTGACGTTGATGCCCATCAGCACCTTGCGGTCGATGTCCTCCAGCTGTATGTTGCTGTACTTCACCTCCCGGTAGGTCTCGTCATAGTGCAGGATCAGCTGCATCTGTAGGAGGCCTGGGGGGGTCCAGCGGCCGTCACCCCCCGTCCCGAACCCCCCGCGCCCCCCCCACCGTGACGGGGGTCCCTGGGGAGGGACAGGGCCATACCCAGGTAGACGCCGTAGGTGAGCGTGCCGGCCAGGCTGGCAGCCACCACATTTTTGACCACGCCGAGGCGTTTGCGCCGAAAATACTTTTGCTCCTCCTCCTCCTCGTTGTAGTCGGAGTGAGCACTCACAAAATCGTCCAGCTGCGGGTGACCCCGCTCGTCAGCCCTGGGGACGGCCACCGCGGGCCCGGTCCCCTGCGGGTCCCCCCTCTGTCCTCACCTGCGCCTCCGTCCCCTCGGCGCCCAGCCCCTCGCCCGCCACCACCTTGGCCGCATCCTGGTAGCAGCTGGGGTCTTTCTCCATCGCTGCCTCGGGGTGTGGGGGCCCTGGATGGTGTCAGGGGTGGGTGGGGGCGACCCTGTTGGCACCCCCAAACCCTGCACCCACGTGTCTTGTACCCCCAGAGCTGCACCCATGGGCCCAGCACCCCCAGTCCCTGCACCCATGTGCTCTGCACCCCTGCACCCAGCACCCCCAGACCCTGCACCCATGCGCTCTGCTTCCCTGCACCCAGCACCCCTGGACCCTGCACCCATGTGCTCTGCATCCTTACACCCTGCACCCAGCACCCCCACCCCTGCACCCAGCACCCCCAGACCCTGCACCCAGGCGCCCGGCCCCCAGCACCCCCAGCCCCTGC